AAGGGTTCAATTAATGTGTGTTATACAATTTAAATCACTGCAAGTGGAAAATGTTAATTAAAAGCCGGAAGCAATGCACCATTTCTCTAAACAGAAATGAACAGGCAAAATATAAAACCTTTAGAGAGGCTGAAAGGAGCCCTATAGGGGTAAAACATGGAGGTGGTAGCATCATGATGTGGTGTTTTTAAGCTGAGCTTTTTGTTTATATGGAAGATACTATGAAAAAATTTAAGATACCAGCTCAGTTTTAAACCAAAAAGCCTTTGTTGTCATCTTGAAATTTAAAGAGTAAATCATTTTTTTTCCAGCATCACAATGAATCCAGGTCTCCAAAAAAAGATGGCTTCAACAAAAGATTTGGAATACCAAGTCAGAGTATAAAATAAAATCCACAGACATCCTGAAGGAGACTGTGAGGACGTCTTTTCTTAGAGTTTAAAAGATTTGGAAAGCTCTTGCAAAATAGAGTGAGTAACTGCTGTTGGGTGTTGATAAATTGGATGGAAAACAACAGGCGCTTTACAAAACATTAGGTCAGGGCTGTTCCTACATAGTAAGCCAGGTCATGTTTGTTTTTACTTTTAGATTTCACTCTAAAGGATTTGTTTGTTATTCAAGTAAAAATGTGCAAAACACATTAAATGAAAGGTTTGAAACCCCAACCCTCAAAAAATGTGCAGAAGCAATGAAAGGAGTGTACCAGTATCCCTGAAGTAAAAACCTGTACATTAACCCATCCCCCACCCTCACAGAGAGGGAGAATATTTTATGTGATGTTAGAAAAGCTCAAACTGAGGCTGAATAACAAACCCTACAGATGTGGCAGATGTATGGCAGCTTTGAAGAAACTCTTCATAGCCCCCCACCCCCTCCCCCCCTTCTTTTAATTCCCTGTGGGTATCTTCTGCTATTTCTCTCCTCTCTGTTTTTCCTCCATCCCCTCAGGGGGGGGGCTTGACTGCTGAGAGGCAGCCTTTTCTCTGACAGCAGGGAAGACAGCTGAGGAGTGAGATGGAGGTGTCAGCCACACTGATGGCCATATGTATGTGTAATTTTTTTGGAGTGTGTTACTTTTAAACTCCTTTTCTAGAATAAAACTGACAAGTTTACAAGGAAATGTTTATAAACGTTGAAATATAGAGGGAAACTGTGTAAATGTCACTGTTACTGATCAAGCATTCAGTCATTGAGAGTGTTAAGAATGTGGTTTATGGGAACACCATATTTATTTCTCTGTTTCAGCTCTGATTTTATCACCAGACATCAATAAAAAAATCCACACATTAGATTAAGAAGGTATAAAACATCAAAAATCAGAATCAGAATTCTGATTCTGATTTTTGATGTTTTATACCTTTTTAATCTAAAAAGCAAAATGATCAACAGAGATAACAAGATCCTCTGAAGAAACGACTTTCAGACTAACTGTTTTCAACCTAAGGAAGGCAGAACAATGGTTGCAGAGCTCAGCACTGAGGCTCATGGCATATAACATAACTTTTGCAGAATGAACAGGATTGAGTCATAAACACATTTGATTTTTATAAAAGCTGGGTACATTCCTACAAGGAGTTTCTACTTCCTCATCTGATTTCAGATGAAAAATATGTTACTGCATGGGTCCTATTTGATAGGATATCTTGTGATATAGGATATCATGCATCCACTGATTTAGCAGCCACTTCTTGCGGCTTTAACTTCAACTTCAATGGGCACCAACCTTCATATTGTATTCCTAGTGTTGTTTCGAGTCTTATTCCTCTTGGGATCTTTAGATCTTTATTTTGTTACAAACTGAGTAAAAGCAAAATGTAAAAAAACAAAAATAATAATATGTCAGGAGGTCGTTAGCTTTGCATAATACTTTATATACAACCACAGTAAACTACTGGGTGAAAAAAGAAGTCAAATAATGTGACTGTATACCTTTTGCTTTGTTATGTACCTGTTTGAAGACTGTTATTCTTATACAAAAGTGATTCCAAAGTGTTTTCTTTTTAGGCAGATTAATTAAAATATTAGATCTTACACCTTGTAGTCATTCGGCTTTTTCCTATTTCTATTCTTCCACTCTGCAGAATCTGTTATTTCAATCTCTAATGTTCTGCTCCCTCTGCTTTTTCTCATAGTAGCTTCATCTGGTCTGTTCCTGTTTTGCTGTGACTCCATCCTGGAGAGAAATATCAGCTGTGCTGCTGCCATCAACAACTTTCTGCTGGAGGTTTCTTCCTGTTAAAAGGTAGTTTTTTCCTCTCCACTGTCGCTATAAGCATGCTTGCTGTGAGGGATTGCTGCAGCGTCAATGAGTCGATGCAATCAACATGTTTTCCTTAGATATAAAACTTTGAGCCAATTTGACAGTATGATCTGGTTGAATTGTCTCCGTAAAGAGCCTTGAAATGACATGTGTTGTGAATCGGCGCTATATAAACACGGTGAATTGAAATTGAATTGAGCAAGAAAAACAATTTATTATTAATGGAAATGTGTTCTGCCTCTGATATTCAACAACCCAATTACTTTAAATATTAATGACTTCTTTATGAATGAAAAAGATTACTCCTAACAATTGTTAGAATTACAGTTCAAGTTATGCTGTGGAAATGATGAGCTTTTTTTCAATAATATGCTTGGTTTAGTGTTCCATGGCTGTTATTCATTGAAAACTTTGCCCATTTATTCATCCAAAGAAGGGAAAAACAGTTATTTATCTTGTTTTGCATAAAGTAAATCATCAGCTGCTTTTCTTCACCTGACCCCCTCAAGTCACAACAAGTCAGCGTGTGCTTAAGGTTGTATAAGGCCTGCATAAGTAATCATCTGTGCAGTTTATCAGGACACAGAGTCAGGCTACTTCAACAGACAGTACGGTTGTTGAACTGCAAATATGGCAATGGAGACAATCACTGAATCTTTTTTGATGTTGCTGAGATTCAAGAAACATCCTGCTCTTCTTTTAGGGTTGATTTTGTCTGCTGGTGGCTTGTTATTGTAAGACAATCATTGTGTTTAATATGTAAAAATAATTAAAATAGATAAAACTAAAGATAAATTAAAAAATATATATTTTTAACAGGCAAATATTAGATTAATATTATAAGCTCATAACAGGTAAGACTCATATGACAACTTGAGAATACTATGTATTCCTGTATTTGTTTTCTCTTTAAATGCTATAATATTTATTGAAAAAAAAAAAACGTTTGGAAGGACAGGTCCACTGTATCCTTCCTAGCCTAAAGTATCCCTTGATTCATTGCAGGTCCAAAGAAGCAAGCTTCTCTGTGCTCAGAGGATAAAGGGAAATGTTGTAAGTGCAGTTTAATATGATGCGAGTATGTGAATATTTTCCTGTTAAATCAATGAAAATATTTGTTTTAAATGTTTAGTGTGTCAGATATATGACAGGTAATGTTTTATTTAAAAGGTTTTATCTCTCCCTGTGCAAATGGGTTTGGCTGACATCTAAGGCTACGTTCACACTGCAGGCCTTGATGCTCAATTCCGATTTTTTTGTGAAATCCGATTTTTTTTTTTGTGTTGCTGTTTACATTTCCAAATATATGCGACTTGTATGTGATCTCCTGTGTTAACTGCAGTCATACAACGCAAGTGTCCCGCATGCGCAGTAGAGGACGCAATGATGTCACAGGCCAGCGTGCTCTATGTTTATGGAAGTAAACATGGATGGCAGTACCAGCACGCATCTAGCGGTCTTTTTCAACCATAAAAACTCAATCTTTTCAAGCTGTTTAAACATAAATACTGCTCGCCGCATCATCATCTGCCATTGTTGTTGTTTTTCTTGCCGCTTCTGCGTAGCAAGACGCAGAGTAGTGACCTTTCTCGGGTATTAATGGCGTTCAGGTCGGATGAATCCGACCTGGCCGTTCAGACACAGGTCGCATTTGAAAAGATCAGATTCGTATCGGATTCCGGACCACTTAATTAAGTGGCCTGGGTCAGATTGGAAAAAATTGGATCTGTGTTCAGATAGCCATGAAAAGATCAGATCCAGGTTGCATATGGGCAAAAAAATAGGATTTGGGTCACTTCAGGCTGCAGTGTGACTGTAGCCTAAGTGTCATGACCATGGCCTAATTGCTCATTTCATCCACCTGCCTAACTCTGCCCAGTTTCAGATTACTACTCATGTAATCCACCTGCTCCTGCTTATTTATATAACACTCAGTCCAAGCTATCAGGGCCAGATTATTGATGTGAGATCATCACCAATGCTATAGTTAATTTTCACGTTCTCGGGGGCCAGTGGTGAGACAGGTTTTTAGCGTTTCATAGTGTTCCTGATCCACATAGCCTGCCCGTTCCCACCTGAACGTTCTGCCTGAACTCTCTGTGGACTCCTGGAACACTGAACCAGCCTGTTCCTGTTCTGATCGGGCTTCAGACTCCTGGACTTCTGAGCCTTCCGGTTCTGATCTGATTCCCTAACCCAGCTCAGACTCCTGCTTGTTCTCTGGGCATGCAGCATCTTTTTCACTTTGATCGTTATAGAGGTATGGGTCTGAGTACGTTTCTTTTTTCAACCCAAAGGCGAGGCTATAGTGACAAATGCCTGTAGGCTACCAGTACTGTAATCATTTATTAGCATGTATCATTAAAACCAATAAGAAACTGCCTTAGCCTCTCTGCTACCTGTTGGGCAGTACTAATATTGCAAAAATAAGAATAAGAAAAAAATCACATGAAAATGTAGAAAAAGGCAGAGTAATATTAAAATGTAATCCCATATTCTTAGTTTAAATGCATGAAAATTAGATCTTGGGGTAAGAAACACAAACCATGCAGGGTTTTTTTATGTTCTCTGATCTGTCATTTACAGATCCTCATTATTATGGACCACAGAACTCTAATTGAGAGTGTTACTATCTAAATAAAACAACATACAAGAGAGAAAGAAAAACAACAAAGAGACACCGTTGATCACTTTGAACTGCTTTGGGGCTGCATTAGAAAAAAAAATGTAAGTTGGACTGACAGACGCTCAGCACAGGTCACAGTTTTTTTTTATTCTCAATTCAAACAAAGAGCAGAGACAAGGTGGCACACTGAGAAATTACACCAGGTATCAATACATTTGATGACATCACAATATCTTACTGAAGTGCTTTGATAACATATCCAGTTTAAAAATAAGGAGTGGAAAAAAGGCAATACAGAAAATATAGCTGCAGTTGAAGCCCATCTATGAACATAATGCTACAAAGTTGAAGAATCTTGGTGAGGGACAGTGATGTACAGAACATTTCCTTTTTAAAACACTATGTTCCCAAAGGCTACAAGGCTGGCAACACCAGAAAAATGTTCAAAGATCTAATCAAAATCTCTAAAGAGAAACCTGCTACTACAGCGCGTAAACACAAAGCTAATCTCAATGCTAAATTTTATGTACAGCTTAACTAAACAGGGGAATTTATGGCACAGTACACTGAAAATTAACGTTTTGTATATGTTATAAAATGGCAACTCATAAATGGTTATGGGTGAAGGTGGAAGTGCTGGAGAGATTCATTAAAAAACAGTTAAAATCTATGAAAGAAAATAAGGAAAAAAGACATTATGTGAGGAAATATATGCACACTTATATACTTATATGTAACACTTAAAGAATGACAGCATCTGAACTAAAGGAAATGTAACATTTCCCTGCAACTGGTGTTTTTTATTTTTATTTTTTACAAATAATGGGAATCACTTACAAAAGCATTGATAAGTTACAGTAAAAAGAAGCAGACAACGAGTAACAAATTAGAAGAAAGGGTAGTGAACAAAATGTGCCTTTGTATGAATTGAACTAAGCATGTGTCTGCATGTCTGAATGTCCACAGAGCTGAAATGAAAGACAACTGAACTCCCGGTACTTTATTTAAATAAAGAAGCAAAATCTTTAAGAACCAAGAGAGGAAGTTCAGTTATCTTTGTTCACTAGCAGCTGTTGCAATGATCAGGATGACCTAAATCTACGCTGACTCAATGTCTGCATGCATGATTTTATTCTATACTTGTTGTTTCTTTTGCCTACACTTCTAAATATTTACCAACATGTGTTTCTGGATCCTAATCTACCTTCATTTTGTTTCACATAGTTGTATCTTTATGTTCGTGTGTTTTCTTTACATCCAGCAACCATTTGGTGAACTCAGTGGCCCTCACCACTTGGCGGTTTAGCTTCGTGCCCCGCCGCCCCTCCGGGCAGCCAGGGGGAGACAGAGTGGGAGGTGGTTTGCTTAGCCATACTGTAGTGGCTGATCACCGTGTAGAAACGACCCCTTGAATTGGCATCTTGAGCGGCATAGTAAGCCTCGAGTGAAGCAGGGATGCACCGCTTGTGCTGTAAGAAAAGGTGGGAAAATTTAAGGGTTAACTGTTTTAATCTTACACTCTTGCATGGAACACAGGGACAGCTTTACCATTAGGCAAAACTAGACAGTTTCCCAGGGAACCAAGTTCCTTGGGGCCAAATAAAACTCCTTTTACATGTATGATTAATGCAGCTATTACTTATTTGTGCAGATTAATTATGCTTTTGATAAAGATCCTTTCACTAAAATGCTCTGTTTGGTGACAACATATAAAAGCCCAAAATCTGCTCTCCAAAGCAAGTACATTCGTAATTCATGCAGCTATTATCTCATTCAAATTTAAATGGAAACAGATAAGCAGATTATGGCTTACAATGAAAAGGACTGAGCAATCAGCTTAGTAGTGATTGGAAAAAAAATATTTCATTCCTTTTGAGATAGCACAAAATGTCAGCTGAGCACATTGTCAATATGAAAAGAAAAAGGGACAAAAGAAAATACAGAGAGGAAAACGACAAGAAAAGGGACAAGAAGAGAGGGACAAAACGTAGAACAAAAAATGTTTGTCTATTCCATTAAAATTTCTGTATCTGTATAGTGGGTCTGTTTTATGAGTTGTCATCTTTGTTCAGAGGGCCCCCTGCCTGTCTTTGACTAGGGCCCCAAATTTCCTTAATCCGCCCCTGACTGTACATTGTACCTAAGTCAGTATACCCTTGCTGCCTATTATAATATTAGCTGGTTATTTACAAGGTATCGCAGAAAATAGGTTTATTATACAGCCACCAACTCTAAACAGTCAGATAGTTGAGGTGTTTATGTATGTTATTTTTGCTTCAAACGTGGAGTAATTTAAAGAGAAAGTGCACCAAAGAAAGGGAACTGATAAGAAATGCTGCCTTCAGTAACCTTCAGGTCACAACCAAGATCTACGAACAACTTTGAACATGAAAAATAGCAATAATAGCTGATCAACTAAATGCCAAAGCAGCTTAAAATATATACTTCCTAGCCACTTCCCTTAACTGAAAATTTCATAATTCAAGGCGTTAGTTGTCGTTTTTCTCAAATAACCAAGACTCAACTTGAAAAGGAGAGTGGACGCTAATATTTTCAACTGCAAATCTTGAAGTTGATAGATTTGTATTTCTTTTTTGTCCTGAACTGAATCTGTGAGACTCCAGAGTACATCAAATCCTGGGTACACCATGAATGGCATCAGGGATAACATTTGTTAAGTTGCAGATTTGCTTAATCACTTTTTCTTTTACACATCCTGTCAATATTTATACAGAACTAATATGATTGGTGTAAAGAGGACCTACAACAGGGTAAAGATTAAAAATAAGCACATTTTGAAGACTGCTAGTATCTGGATAAAATGTTGACCACAATAAACCAATGACTTGCACTAATGACTTAGAATGTGCATGAACACATATTTTATCCTCTTATTTATTTTAGGTGTTTATAAAAGGATTAAATTGTCTCGTGGTGGTCCAGTATCCCCAGAATTCACACCAGCAGGAAAGTTAGTCTTAAAGAAAATGGAGGTATATTTTAGAAAGGATCCAGGGAGAGGTTTAATAGTCATAGACTGAGCCAAACCACTTTGCCTCAATGTTGGTCACGATACAGTCAGCATCAGAGATCATTTGAGGCAATAAGATGTCTTCAGGTTATCTAAAGGACAAAATAACATGTATGTAGTTGAGAGTTTGTCTAAACATAACTAGCTCTTACTGTAACTTAATGTTGGGATTTTCTGTTAACTAAATCTCTTTCATGTGCTCCAAACAAGGTGTTATATATTTATATGTGAGTAATCCAGCTCACCAATAACAATAGGGAACCCTGGATCTAAGAAATAAAAAAGTAGTCCACCTGTTCAATTAAGATTTTTTTGTAATGTGTAGTTGTCATGACTGTGCCCACTGTTGACTTCTGTTTCAGTTTACCTTTAAGTTTTTTAGTTTCACTTTGAGTTATTTTATTCTGTGTTTTCTTGTTCATTGGTTTCTATTTCCAATCTGTGTTATATTTAAGCAGTCTTGTATCTTTTGAGTTACTCTGTGTTGCCCCCTTGTGCAAGTCTCCTTTTCCATAGATAACTTCTAGTTACTTCTGTCTACACCTGCTCCCTATCACCTAATTAGTCCTCCCATTGTATCTGTTTGCCATATATCCCTAATCTTTATTTTTTATTTTTTAAGTAGGCCTTAAAAAAAGTTTCTAATCATATGTTGGATTTAGAGATTGGAGTGGGTAAAAAAAATCAATCTTTCATTATTTGGAAGACTATAACAGAAGCCTTTCAATTGACAGGGCAATTCTGTTTTTAATTAGGACTTGGTATTGGTTAACTATTCAGTGCAAATGGAGAAGAGCATTGTTTTTGTATCTTTTCTGCAGTAACAAATAAAACAAACAAACAAAAAATCCTTATGCAATTAAGAGTATTTGGTAGAGGAAAAGTAACAATCAAATAGATGAGTGAGAAGAGAAAAACATGTGTGAAAAAGTACGTGTTTGTATTTACCATCTTTGTCTCTGACACATGTAGTCATACATGTTAAATCTGGATATGGAGGTGTGGTGGATGATCCTCCCACCACCACATCGTGTTAGTATTTTCTTTTCTTGCTTTATATTATATTACAATTTATGTTTAAGTTGGTTATTTTAGACAGGTATTTTCTAATGGGTGCACACTTTAGTTAATGTCTGTCTGAATGGTTTATTTACACTTGTTCTTTTGTTTGAGGTGCTGCTGATGCAAACCAGCTGGAGAAGGAAACCTGGAGCGTACCATTTTTGAAAGACTGACGGAAGAGACTTGCTTCAAGAAGTTTTCAATTAGTTTGTCACTTAAATATTCACTTATTGTTTCTGCTAAGTAAAGGTTAGTTTTGCTTTATTTGTTTCACAGAATGGTTAATTTTGTATTTATTGGTTCTTTTGTTATGTTGTGCCTCCCTCATTTTGTCGACTTGGGTTACTCCATCCCTTTTTAAGCAGCCTTTAGTTCTTTGTTTGCAGGTCAGTTTTTTGTTTGATTTGGATCCTCAGTTGAGTTGGGCCCAGATTCATGTTATTTTGTATTTAAGTTATTTTGTATTGCTTTTGAGCCTTTGTTAACCATTTTTACACAATTAAATGAAAGCACTTTTTCAAATTTTGAACACCTTTTGTCCTTATTTAAGTTTGGTCCCTCACAGGAGGACTATAACCCGATATTTTCCACTTCAAAGCCAGGGTTTGATGAGCAACTCTCAAGGTGACCTCTTCCATGGCAAAGTAACTTTAACATTAAGATAAGCCAAGAGAGGGGGACGTTGTACATGCATTTATGTGCAGTACTAAACATTTTGGCAATTTGCTTTATGACCTTAGCCACTGAAAAAGAAAAAAAAGTATATGACGGTTATCATGAAACAGCTACAGGGCCTTATCTTTTTTCTTTCTCTCCATAATTAACATAGCTGATAAAATTTTACAGCAGATTTATTTGGCTTTAAGCAAATTATGCTTGATTACACAAACCCACAAGAACATTTGTGATTGATTGATGATTGCCAATAAAATAAGAAGAGCCTCCTGTAATTTTGAATCTGAAAATATAAGTGGGCCAGCAGCTTTTCTCTCTGCTCCCATAAGGGACTTAACTCACCATTTTTTCTTTATTTAGATAGGTGACAAGGAAAAGATGGAGAAGTCAAGTGCACAGAGAATAGAGGGCCTTGTTCAGGGACAATTCTGCAGGCTAAATGTACAGTGTGACAAATTAACATAACAAAAATGACTATTAGGGTCATTTACTCACAAAGGTCCTTTTAAAGTATGTGCTTTTTATTTTACCAGGATGTTTTTTGTTTAAAAATCTTCATAGTATATTTACCAAAGTTTATATCTTGTACATCAGGGGTCTTCGTTTTCCAGGCCAGGGACCCCGAAACTGATGGCGAGATGGAGCGGGGACCCCCTAATTATATATTTTTATGAAATTGTGTTATATCAAACTTGTCGTATAGTCACTCTTTTATTGGAGACATGTAATGAAAGTAATTTCGGCCTGGGATTATTTAAGTATTTCTGATTTGATTTGATTTCTGACAGGTGTTGTGAATTAAACGGAGCCCAGCTTGAAAGAGCTCCTGTGTGTCGCTGAATGTGTGCATTGATGAATGAACGACATCTTCTGCCTCCATTTATCTGTTTACTACAGTGTGTTGAATTCATGTCAATGTATATTTAAAGGCATTTCAATTAGTGGAAAAAATTGCAGGGGGAATATAAAAAAGTCTAATCAACCAAAACTTTTGTGACCCCCATGCAGTACCTCAGTGGACCCCCTATGGGTCGCGGACCCTGTTGAAGACCTCCTTTGTAGATCATAATGCTCCTCTTCATACTATTTTTTATCTCTACTTACAGTAACAATCATTTTTGCACTCAGACATTTACATTTTTCACTATAGCCTTTTCAAGTTTTACATTAGAAGAGGATTACTAGAACAGAACTGGACAAAACAAATAAAGCAAGTTCTCTCCAGGGTATCAATAAAGTGTTTATCCTAGTTCAATTATCCCCTGTGAGTTAACAGGAGATCTCTCCTTACCCAATTTATTTTATGGAAGCTTTGTTTTTCTACTAAAATATCTTACTGTATTTTTCTTGATCTGTTAAGAGATTGGTGCCCCATTTCACACTTTGTTTGTGTTTGTTCCTGTCAACACAGCAAGAAAAAGAAGACAGAAAAATACAGTACATTGCCCAGCCAAAAATAAAAGTCACAAACTAAGTGGACAACCTTTAGCTTTGATTACAGCAAGCATTCGCTATTGCAGTGTTTTGATAGGCTTCTGCTTAATTCAGATGTATTACTTCCATTCTGTGTTGCATTTATCTTACACCAAGATTAACAATGGAAGAGTCTAATCAAATGCTAAGTTCGAGGTCTGGACTGGCTGGTGGTCAAGTCATGTATTAAAGTAATGTCTCAAGTTCTACAAACCAATCTTTGACAATTTGAACCAGGTGAATCTTGGTATTGCTATCCTAAAATACGCCAGTACCATTAGGAAAGAGAAAACCTATTGACAGCTAGAATAAGGTCAATCAGTATATTCAGTTACTCAGGCGACCTAATTCTTTCTGTATAATGTTGCTTTCCTGTACACTGGGTACGAGTGCATCAATCCACCTGCCTCTCTCCTGACCCTGTTGTGCACCTCACTCTGCAAGAAGGTTAATCTTGACCCATCAGACAACGTGAACCTCCACCAGTCCTCCAGAGTTCACTCTTTATGCTCCCTATTAATCTATTCTTTTCAACCCTTAAGTAAAACTTACTGATTAGTGGGTGAAAGTGGAATTGGATGCTGGAGTTGGCCTTGCAACCTACAGGTTGACTGTTCAAGTTCAAGTTCCTGCTTTCAGTGTTGTTGTTTCCTTGGGCAAGACACTTAACCCTCATTGCCTACTGACAGTGGTCAGTGGCCTGGTGGCACCTGTGTATGGAAGTCTTGCTTCTGTCAGTGAGCCCCAGGTAGCTGTGACTACAATGTGGCTTGCCACCATCAGTGTGTGCATTAATTGATGAATGACTGAATTTAGTCTAAAGCGCTTTGGTCAAGACTCCTTACTTGAAAAAGCTCTATAGAAATACAGGCGATTTATCATTTACCACAGTGGTTTCTGACTGATACACAGGTGTTCAGTCCCAGTCCCTTGATGTTACTTTAAAATCGTGCGTGTTAAAAACTTCTCAGTTTAGTTCTTAGTTTTAACTGTTACACTTGGTTTTTGGTTTTCTTTAATTCAATTTGACCAAACTTATAAGTATCCGCTAATAACAGCATAAATTCATTCAGAATATGACGACATTTCTTCCTGAAAGACAACGATTCAAATGGGTGCTGCGTCTGCAATATAAGGAGAAAGGACCATTCCACCAGAAGTAAAACTGACCAATATCGCTACAAATGTTTTCCATGATAAGACCAACTTGTACATTTGTTGGTACTCAAAGGTCACTGTGTCTGATATTTCTTGACGTTTTTCAATTTTTTCCCTTAAAAATGTTTAATAGTTGAGGTATTTTATCATACTATAATCCAGTTCAAAAGTATTCAACTACCACATACTTTAAAAAAAAAAAGATTTTAATGGAAAATGAAAAAAAAGTTTGATTTTATGATGAAAAATAAAACACAAGCAGCTGATCTTTGACATACTGTCCATTCTGGTTAATTGCTTTATTGCCTGACTTGCGTCCCCCCAAACCACCAGATGTCATATTGACGCTGGTTTTTAGGCTAAATCTGGTCGGTCCGTCATAGTCTTGATTTGGTCCAAAATAGATGTTAAGTATTTGGCTATATCTGGTTGGTCAATTTTTTTCCCAATTTAGTCCAATAATAGATGCTGAAAAGACTTTGCAAACCCAGTTTTTAAAGTCTTTTCAACAATCTGAAATTTACAGCTTTTTACCTCACTTTTCAACCAAATTTAGACATTTGGACATAAATCATGTTGTCTTTGCTATGTCTTTTCAACCAATTTTTGCTTGGTGGGTCAGCTTTGGACAAAGGCTTTGGACAAGATATAAACTGAAGTATGGGCCAAATAAATCTCTTACCTTATATATGAATCCATCTGGGCAGGCATGGTCGTAAGTGAAAGCTTTATAAACCACCAGGAACACGATGCAGGCAAGGAAGGCCAAGGCCAGGATAATCAGAATTGTCACCTGGAGGAGAGACAAACACATGGTCATTGTGTCTGTCAGAGTGGAATGGAAGGTTTGGTGTTTATACAGTATGCGGTTCAGTGTCAGGGGTTTGACAGTGAGAAAGATGGAGTGTGTAAACCATAATGTCTCTGTGTGGTGTCATTATAAATGGTAAGATGTTGCTGACTGAGGTCAATGGCTCCTTGAGGCAAGGTGTTCTGTTTAGTTACATGATTAGTTTTCCAAGATGGGTCACATATATAAACCAGATGGCTGTTACTACCACAATTACATGGTTCAGGGTGATACAAGACATAAAATATAGGAGGTAAAACTGAAAGAAAGCTTATATCTTTTTAATGATCTTGTTTTGATTTTGTTGGTTTGTTGTTTCATAGTCCAGCACTCCTACATTGCAAAATGTATCTGTATATATGCAGAACTTGAATATTTAATCTCGGGAAATATTAACCTAATCCTTTTAATGTATTTTGTTAAGTTACTTTAGAAACTGCACAAAGTAGTTTTCTAGATGATTGAAATCTCAATATTTCAGAGAGCTACGGTACTGATACCACGTAAAGCATAGAGCAGCTCCGCCCAACGAGTGTCAGACACACTTTTGCACCGTGCAGCGAGAGCAGCAAAGCTGCTTCAGCCGCGCGTCAGAACTAACTGGTACAATCTAAACTGCAGGCACCAGGATAAAAAAAGCTAACATATTCTGCCGGCAGATTTCTGCATTTTAAGTTAATTGATGCGTCAATAAACTGTTTCAGAGGAGTGATCACAGCGCTCTGTCATCAGCGATGTGTCTGTCTCACGGCCAGCTCCCAGGTTTGATTAATACTTTGTAATAAATACATGAATAAAGCACAAACATACTCAGTTTTGCCCCCGCTCTATTTTTAAATACGCAGTAGAGGTATTTCTACGTAGTAGAGGACATGTACCTGTATATAAAACCCGCGCCCTATAGTCCGGTGCGCCTTATGTGTGTGTTAAATACAATAATGGCACACATAACTGAGACTGCGCCTTTTAGTATGGTGCGCCTTATAGTCATGAAATTACGTTAATTGAACAAGGTGGTCAGAAATGATGGAAAATGGAAGTATGAAAAACCAAGAGCATCAATAATCTTCATTATACCTTCATGCTAGAACTGCATTGCTTAAGGTGCATGTAGTGTTGCTCTGCTAGCATCATTCTGATGTTATATTTTAAAGAGAACTTTAGGCAAGGAAAAGCAAATTTATTTGTAGAGCACAATTCAGTACAAAGACAAAGACAAATGCAGGACCTGGTTTAGGTCCTGTATTTGTCAATCAGAGCTTATTTGTTCCGATGTTCTTTGCATCTAGTGTTGGATGCTCCGCAGCTAAAAAGATTTTTGCCAGTACATTCATGTTTGGATATTTGTTATGACCTGTAACAGCAGCAACCATGGCAAGTTTTTTTTTTTTACACACCGGAAGCAGCTCATTAACATCGTACAAGCTTAAATAATAAACTTCTTTTGCGAGCACCAGCTGAGTTGAAAAGGAGAGGGTGAGGATGCCAAGCAGGAGAAAGGAGATGAGAAAATCTTGGCAAATTGAGGATTTTCTTTTACCAATCTTTATAGAAAATATGATATCTTTAGGAGATAATTTTGAAGAACTCATAGCCATCTGGCATTGCAGTATTATTTGCTCTACTGAAACTTGGCTGCAGGATCATATCTCTGACTTTAATGTCTCCCTGCCAGGCTTTGTGACCACACAAGCACCCAGACATAATAACAAGGCTGGAAATTGGTATGCATTTACTGAAGGATAATGTTAAGGTTGAATTATTTAGTCATTGCAACAAAATTGCTATCACTGCCAGTTATTTGCAAAAAATAAAATATTACAATCAACTCTTTTTACAATAGGCGGCCACATTTCTCCAGATCAGACAAATCACCACCCAGCAAGAGTCAAAGAACAAAATATGGAAATGCATATATTTCTGAATGATGCAAATGTAGATGAAGTGTCGAAAGATTAATTTTTTCTGACAGACAAGACAATGCTGCAGTGGGTCATATTAACATGAAAGGGGGAATGTTCCTTTATATTTCCAATTTGACATCCTGATTTAGTGATTTAGAGTGAGCTTTAAATTGGAATTATGCAAATCACATTCAAAGGATAGCTTTAGGGATGTGTGCAGTGCTTTGGCTGTATCTTTTCACTCAAAGATGAAATGCAACATTTGATTTTAATCGTCAGGCAGCTGAATAATCAAATCTTCCATGTAGGATGAATATTCCTAATGTCTTGTTTTCCATTCCTGACTAGCGCTGAAGCCATTTCGGATTACTGCTCAGCACACAATCTGTCACAGTGAGATGTCAGAGCAATTATACAAGTGAGATCATCAGTCTCCAGCAGCATTATGAGGGTGGACAGGGACACGCATGCTAAGTGACTGTTTACCCCGTGTCAACTGAGGGACACAGCTTTCTCCCTTGGTTGCCTCCGACACTTCTGCTAAATTACATCACAAGGTGCCATATATTAAAAGGATGCAGTTAAAGTCACTGCGACCCTTCCTTTGAAACTGCAGCAGACGGGAACTGACTGATTAAGACCCTCTGAATGGGCTTCTTTTGAAATCGATCAATAATGATGGAAATGAAACGTTTTATCATGAAGAGGGATTACAGTAAAGCTTCAAAGATAACTGAGGAAGCAGCATGTTTACTGTCTGTGTATAAATATAAACTCCAGCTATAAGTGAGTGGGGGGATTTTTTTACTTCTTTGCACAACCAGAGCAGATTTGGCTGAAATTGACTTAATTGTGTTCATGTCAAATGGTAAATTAATGGCTTTATTAAATGATGGGCATACTTAACAAAAGGCGTACAGCTGAAGGAAAGAAAAAATGTAAGGAAAAGTCTGGTGATATTCATAATTCAAACTTCTGAAAGTACTTTAACTAAAAAAATTAATACTTTTCAATAGTAAAGTGTTTTTTATTAAGAATTATTTTCATTTTAATGTGCTTTACTGCAGGGCAGACATCCATGTTTGTCAAAGAACACTACTGCCACCTACAGGTTTGTGACATCATGGTGCGGTATCGGCTGTTGAGCAAGTCCCAGTGCTGTATCTGGTGTTTGTCACAACGCGCTATTATCCAAGTCATCGTGAAACATTCTTCTTCGAAATGTTATTACGTGTTTTTTCTCTGGCCAGAAGGTCAATGGAAAATCCTCCCTCTTCAAGTTGGCAATCCAACGATTAACCCATCCGTGGAGGATGAGGGATCAGAACGGTGAAATAAATGTTTTGTTTTGTTTTTTCATTTATACCCGATGTATTACAACTTCCAACTGCCATGCGCATAGGCATTGTCAGTTTAACTATAGCTCTGGTGAATTTCAATGGTGAAGTTGATTGCAGATGTGTCTAGGAGCTCCCAACTGCCATGCGCATAGGCATTGTCAGTTTAACTATAGCTCTGGTGAATTTCAATGGTGAAGTTGATTGCAGATGTGTCTAGGAGCTCCCATTGATTTTGCTTGTAAAGCGGGGAGAATGGCGCTAGGCTTACCGCATCCGTGACGTCTCTACCGGAAGATGTCAGGAGTGATGTGTTATTATATTTTGGTGATTGCACCAAAAAATGTTTTTGTTTTTTTACTGATTAACGCTAAATTCATTAAATCACAGCAAACATCTTAGTTTTAGGTATAGATAATGATCCATTGATAATCCCTTGCTGACCAGACTTTTCCTTTAATGCTTTAGAAGTCCCAACTAGACTTATATCTGTTATTTTTATTTCATGGACCTAAATAATCTAAGCAGAATCAGAATTGGCAAAGTTTATTACCAAGTAGGTTTGCATTTACAAGGAATTTGACTTGGTGTTGGAGCAGACAAATCAGATATATATATATATATACAAAGTACAGAATCTATAGCTATATACAATATAAAACATACAACATACTGTATATAATATATAGCTATGTACTATATACACAGTAGGCTGTGCGTTAATGTAACGTAGGAGGTCTGGAGATGCTACGTTGGTGTAGCTTCTAGGTCCTGAACAGGGGAGGGAGAGGGGCAGTGTCAATGCCACAGGGGTCTCTGGGCCTTGTTGATAAGGCTGGTAGCCGATGGGAAGAAACTGTTCTTGTGGTGTGAGGTTTTGGTCCTGATGTACCGAAGCCTCCTGCCAGAGGGAAGTGACTGAAATAGTTTGTGGCTGGGGTGCGAGGGATCAGCCACAATCTTCCCTGCATGCCTGTCCTGGAGGCATACAGATCCTGGAAAGATGGAAGATTGTACCTTCTCTGCAGATCTGATGACCTGGTGCAGTCTGCCCTTGTCCGTGGCGGTGGCACCAGCATAGCAGATGGTGATGGAGGAGGTGAGGATGGATTCAATGATGCACCATGGCAGGTTTAATTGTTTCAGCTGGCGCAGGAAGTACATCCTCTGCAGAACTTTCTTGGTGAGGGAGTTGATGTTCAGCTCCCACTTTAGGTCCTGTGAGATGATTTTTTTTTCGATTCACTCATTGCTGGCCTTTAGCTATTAGACATTAAAACCATTTTTAGGATGAAAATCGACCATAACACGCTGGGTTAAAGTCATTACTGTAATGAAAGCCACTGCCTCTGGCAGGTGCTTACAGAGCGGAGTTTTCATTCCCAGTTCTTTGCCTGGAGGCAACCAATAGTTTTAACTTCACCTTAAATAACTTCTCAATATAATAATGACTATAAAACAGGACTTAAAGTTTAACAGCAATTTAATCAAAACCAGTAAGAATAAGGTTTCTCATGTCATCTATAGGTTTACCCACATGTACTGTACACACTGTACCAAGAGATCTGACAAATGTTCTGTGTCACATCTGTGAATTTCCTCTTAAGGTCCAAAATATTTTTTTTCAATAGCTGAGCAACCTGCAGATTTAAATTAGGGCTAAAACAATTAATCGGATTAATCGTGATTAATAGAATATTGA